CAAACTCACATGAAAATCTGACAATTGTACAATAGTGAATAAAATAGTGAAAAACTCATTTGTTGATTTTACAAAAAGATGTTAAACAGAGCTGAGAAAGAATATTCTAAATATCCATGTTGAAGGTAAAGGTTCCAAGCAGCTTCATGTCCCTCTGACCAAAGATGATGATAATATTATAAAGTATAAGGTTCATGGGACTGAGGACAACCTCCCAGAATGTGGACGCATGAGGCAATGCAAGCCCAGGTTGATCAGAAAGATAGTGTGAACAGTAGAAAACGAGGCATCCAGAACCATTCGAGTTGAACTTCAAGGTCCAAGTACAGTATACGTCCTTGGTCACATTTTGAATTATAATGGACTCCATGAAGAAGACCCAGGAGACTCCATGACGCAACAGAAATACACAAAAATGTCAGACAGGAATCCCCGAAGTTTCTGAGACATTTCTGGGATGGATGAGACAAAACAGGAAATTTTTGGCTCCAGTTCCATCACAGCTCTGTTTTTCTGGCTCTGTAGAAGAGTGCCTACAAACTAACACTTGTCTATTAAAGTCACAATAATCAAGCTAAATAAGTCCAAATCTTTATGTGTACCTCTGAGGAGTGCACATTGTATGTGACCCAGCAGAGCCATGATGAGAGTAATGAGAAGTCAGTGGTGTTTGTGGAAGGAAAACTGCTTTCTTATGATAAACTGATTGCTGAGACAAGTGAGGGTAAAGTTGCATCATAAAAGCACTTCCTCTATCCAAACAGTGCACGTGACCACGGTCTGCCCGGTGAGTGCTGACAGACGTCTACTTTTACATCTGCTGACATTTTAATCTTTAATAAAACAAAAAGAGATGACAAAGGTTGTACCTACTGATCCACGTTTATTGACCCATCACTTTTTTCCAACTATTTATGAAATAATGAAAAGACCAGCACACCATAAAACTGTGTATAATGTCCACAACCAGAGTTTTAGACTGAGATCATCTTAAGATGAGGAATCATAAGAGTTGTAATTGTTTTAATCAAACCATCCATCCATCCATTTTCCTTACCCGCTTATTCCACTTTGGGTCACGGGGGTCGCTGGTGCCCATGTCCAGCAATCACTGTGCGAGGGGCGGGGTACACCCTGGACGGGTCGCAAGTCCATCACAGGGACACATAGAGACAAACGAGACAAACAACCATTCACTCACACCTAGGGACAATTTAGAGTTACCAATCAGCCTAACATGCATGTTTTTGGTCTGTGGGAGGAAACCGGAGTACCTGGAGAAAACCCACACATGCACGGAGAGAACATACAAACTCCACCCAGAAAGGCTCCTGGACCGGGGTTTGAACCAGGGACCTGCTCGCTGAGAGGCAGCAGCTCTACCAGTTGCACCACCGTGCTGCCCGTTTTAATCAAACCTTCTGCTCAATCTCATTAATTATTTATGCTCACACTATGTATGTGGATGACTCCCTGCTACTACCACATCAAACTTTAGCTAAGTATCTGTAACACTGACTGAGTCCTGGTCATTCTGGAGGTGGCTCTGTTTGATAAGCTGTGCTACAAAACAATAAGATGTGGCGGCCGTCGTGTAAGAAATGCACGGTGAACATAACTCTGGATGTGTCATAGAGCAGTCTCACTTACGGTCATGACACATTTTAGGTCAGTGTCTGAGTAGTAGCCATTTTGTGTTTTCTAAGGTCAGCTGGCTGTGGCAGCCATCTTGAATTTGGTTGATTTCAAAAACAATAAAAAGTGGAAAAATGAAATGCTCGTTAGGCTGTTACCCCAACAAGTTGTATTTTGTGTGAAACATTCTTCCTTCTTCATCTTCCACCATTTGGTCTTCTTCTCTGATTTGACTCTTTTCCTCTTCTTCACAACAACAGTCATTCTACACACAACCATCCGATGCTGTCTGGCCACGCTCTCCCCTGCCACAACCTTACAGTCTCCAATCTCCCTCAGGTTTCCTCTTCTACACAGAATGTAGTCGACCTGCGTACTCCTTCCTCCACTCTTATAGGTCACTCTATGTTCCTCCCTCTTTTGTAAACAAGTGTTGACTACAGCCATTTCCATTCTCTTCATAAAATCCAGCACCATCTGTCCTTCCTGGTTTCTTTCCTTGACACCAAACCTACCCATCACTTCCTCATCCTCTGTTTCCTTCACCAACATGTCCATTCAGGTCTGCTCCCATCACCACTCTCTGCTCCCTGGGAATACTCTCCATCACTTCATCCAGATCTTTCTCCTCCACATCACATCCAACCTGTGGAGCATAACCACTGACAGCATTTAGCATCAGACCTTCTACTTCTACCTTCAGACACATCACCCTATCTGACACTCTTTTCACCTCTGCTACATTCTTTACCAACTCCTCCTTCAGGACCAGCCCTACTCCATTTCTCTTTCTATCCACACCATGGTAAAACAGTTTGAACCCTCCTCCAATGCTGCGAGCCTTGCTGCCCTTCCACTTGGTCTCTTGGACACACAAAACATCTACCTTCCTTCTCAGCATCATGTCAAACAGCTCTCTACCTTTGCCTGTCATTGTCCCCACATTTAGAGTTGCAACCCTCAGTCCTACATTCTTCACTTTCCTCTTCTCCTCTGTCTCCTGACACGGTTCACATACAGCAACAGTTCAAAACATGTAATGAAGAAACTAGAGTAAAACAAACATTATACTCTTTACTCCCTTAAATCTGAAACTACATTTCCCATCATGCAGCTGTAGTGCATGATGGGAAATTATCAGCAGACCCTGATGTTAAAGGAGAGCTGGACCCCTGTGTTCAGAGATACGACTTGTTTTCCACCTGTAAAATGCTGCAGAGCGATCAGTGGGCCTCCTCACACGTGTGTGTGTTTTACAAAGATAGGGTGTGCTCGTTTGATGACATCATCAGGGTAAGTTGTTGTTCTAAGTATGACAAAACTAACTAAACCAAAACAAACAGACAGTTGTTCATAAGCTGAGTAAGCCGACGGTCTGGGACTGTGTAGTGTAGTCTGTCCCTCCTGATGCTCACAGTCGTCACCGTTTACAGCAAGAAACCCTTTAAAAATACGGTCGTCCATCTTTGGACCTCTCCTTCAGTGGAACAGGAACTACGGCTAAATGTTTCATTTAATATGCAGCCCATTTAAAACATTGTGAACCACTACTAAATTTGCTGTTTTGCAGACTTTAATCAACTTATGTCAAATGACAAAGGGGACAGTAATGATTCTGCTCATTTCTGTGTATCTGTTAGCAAAACGTCCCACAACCCATTGGATAGATTTTAATGAAACTCAGGAAAGATTTATAGGATAAACTTCTATAACTGATTAGCTTTTGGAGTCAAACTTATTCCCGATGACCACCACAGCTGATTGACTTTAACACAAAAATGGAGATAACAGTCAGCTTTACAGACATTGAGCTAAAATGAGACGTGGTAGTAGCTGATAGTCCTCTGACAGAATGTGAACGTGATGGTTTGTGACTTTGCATTTAACCTTATTTTGAATGTTTGACCAAACTGGCTACAACTCTGTCATTTCACCTTCAGATGATCTTGGTATAAAGATCTGACATGGAAGGAGGTGAGCAACAAGCATTTCTCGTTTAGCTTTTCATTTTGAATCCTATTTGAACTTTTCTTGATTTGATTTTAATTTGAACTATGTCTAATAAAGTCTGTTCTCATTTCCATAACCTGTCCTGTTTTTACTGACCTTACCGGATTGTTTATAAAAAGCAGAAAGTCCTTGAGAGAAGGAAGTGCAGTCCATTCTTTGTGTTTCTGGTGTGGGTCGGACTCGTCATCGGAGCGCTGAGCCTCCTGCTTCCCACTCCAGCCCAGTCAAGTGACCAGTTGGTTGTGTCCCTTCACAACAGGAAATGCTGCTGCAGGGTGAAAAGGTGGACATTCTGCTTCAAGTACTACTTCTTGTTCTTCTTAACAAGAAACAAGGGCACTGAGGAAAAAACACAAAATGAGCATGTGCTCATGGAAGGTAGCGTGCAGGAGACACTTAGCAGGAAATACACGCATTGTTTGAGTCCACAGTACGTTTCAAAAGAACAACTTCATTCATTTCATGCAGGTTACAGCATCACTCATTGTTCTGTACGCAACATGCCAGGTACGGACGGATGCTACCATGGGTTTGAACGTGGCAGCTTGTGCTGCTCCTGGCATGTTGCGTACAGAACAATGAGTGATGCTGTAACCTGCATGAAATGAATGAAGTTGTGCTGTACATACATACGTACATACATACATAAATACATACATACATACCTACATACCTACATACCTACATACATACATACATACATACATACATACATACCTACATACATACATACATACATACATACATACATACATACATACATACATAC